GACCGGAGGTGTCTCTGGAAGGAAGCTGCAAGCTCTACGTGGACTGGAGCCTGTTTCCTGGGTCCCTTCTCCCGCCCCTTGCTCAAAAGACATTGCCATCTCTTTGTAGTATGTCCTTGACTCGGAGGTCAGGATCGATGACCTTGATGCCCATGCTTGACCCTGGACTTGGATTTTTGCCTGCTTTCTAGACCTTCGCCTTTTCTTGACTTTGCCTTTGCCCACCTTGTCAGTTCTTAGCAATTCCAAGTGCCTCCGTTGAAAATGTGTTCATCTCACTGAAATCTGACGCACCTTGCCCGATCATATACACTCACCTGTCATAGCCAGACCCGACTGACTCTACCCCCTGGACAGTCAGAGGAGGCAGATCTGTCCCAATTGCGGCTCAATACAACCTTCCCTTTATAGTTCTAGTTAGACTTCACTGGAAGTCCTTGGAGCTTTACAAATAAAAGGAGAATAACTCCTTCTGATTCATGACTGCCCTGAATCCCTTCTGAAAGGTCAATAAAATAATACTGGAAGTAAGATACGAATGGGATGATGAACAAATTAAAGTCGGATAAAAGATGTGCTGTATGGGAGGATGATCCCAGGAGTACCTGCTCGGTAGGAAGTCCTCTACCCGGGCTTTCTCCTCCAAGCATGTAGAGGTCACAGAGCTCAACTCAGAAACACATTAAAGGTGCAAAGCCATAAATAATTCAAGAAGTAAAAAGCTAGATACACTTACGATTTGGGATCATCTTGAACTTGGAGTGATTTTATATGAGAGCAAGAGAGAGTATACTTGTTCTGGCTGATCTTAATGAGTGCACTTCGAGGGCAAAATTCCTGTAAGAATATCAAGAGAGTTCACTCAATTTCAATCAGAAGTGTCCACAGTTCAGATATAGTTCTATCCTTGTCTGACCTATGGTAATAGCTACGAGGGCATTTTCTTAATGGGATAACACCAAGGAGACCCTTTTCAAACTCAGAGCCTTGTTGATCATGATCTGTGGAACAGAAGTCCTCTTTGAGTGTTGTTCGGGGCTTTCTCTAGATTTAGGATCAATTGTCAAGTGCATTTACACACAAACACACCCTCCTTCCTTCATAGACCCGGCCAGGCTGTTTGTATCCCAGCTTTGGTCACCTCTTTCCTTGGTAACTAGACCCTTTGCTGAATGTCCCCTTCCACCCCCTTCAGTCTCTCACAGTCACTCTCAGGATCATGCTACCATGTCACTCTAGCCTCCGGGGGACCCACTGCCTTACGGATGGACACATGCTAAGGGTGTTCCCTGGTCTCTGAGATGCCTCCTGCGTCATCCTGGATCAATGCCCCTTCTCTCCCCATATTGTGGTGCACATCCAGGAAGACCTTTGAACTAGAACTTAAATCCTGACCACGAGGTTTACAGCGGGAGTCCTGAATGCATTTTGGATCTCCACATAGATTCAGCCTCTCTGCGCTCTCTCTGACCATTGACCAGCAGTGTGAGAAGATTTGCTCTCAGACAGGGTGGGTTTCAAAGACTGGACTTCCCTGCCCAGCCCTCAGAGGGGCAGTCTCACCTTCAGGCACTTGCCAGGGCCCCATGGTGGTCAGGATGGTCAGAGAGGCTCAGCATCAATCCAGTGAACGTTTCTACTATGCAGCACTGTGCGGATGGAGCCCATTGTGTGTGTGGTCCCTTTCCTGATTCTGATGCTTGAGACTGGGAAGAGCCGGTCCGCTGCC